CGAGAGTTCGAGAACCTACAGAGTCTGATTGGAAGAAGTGTGTTCGCATGATGCGATATTTGTTTTGTACATTGTTGTATCACCTGACACTTTCCGCAGAATCACTACAAGTCATGAAATGGATGATTGACGCATCTTTTGCGGTGCATCCAGATTTCAAGAGCTATACTGGCGGCACTCTGTCCTTTGGAGGAGGTGCAGCTCAAGTGATGTCGAAGAAACAAAAACTAAACAGCAGAAGCAGTACTATAGCGGAACTGATTACTGTTGACGATGTTGTCACGATGATACTATGGACAAAGTTGTTCATGGAGTGGCAAGGGTATCCAATCGAGAAGAATATATTGTATCAGGATAACAAAAGCGCGATTCTACTGGAAGAGAATGGTCGCAAGAGCGCTGGCAAAAGAAGCCGAGCTATCAATATTTGTTATTTCTTTATCACAGATCAAGTTGAGAAAGAAATGTTAAGATCAAATACTGTCCGACTGACAATATGATTGCGGATTTTATGACTAAGCCATTGCAAGGTGAGAAGTTTCGCAAGTTCAGGGATCTGATTCTTGGTCCACAGGACTAGGTCAGACAAGCATGTATATGTTCAAAATGAAAATACAAAACAAAAATAAACAGTGAATGAGAGCATGTCCCAGTGCTGCAAATGGTAATATGACGAAATATGAATTTTTACGTTCCAAAAGAAACTATTCAAGTACAAAGTTTTTGACACATACGATCGGACTTTGATCGTGATGTCAGGATTCGACGCAAGTCTGCCGAACGCAAGTCTGTCGGACAATCTGGATCCACACAAAAAGGGAAAGACCCTATACAAGTGGAATATTGATGTTGTGTACGATGCAGTAGGGAAGAATACAAGATGTCCCAAAGTACTGCATTCAACACACAGAAGTCGAATCAAGTTCTGTAAACAAGGGATTTTCCAAGGGAAAATCGTTGAACTCACTTTTGTGATTGAATCATCAATTCAAGCCAAACATTAATCAAATAGGAACAATTTCACTCAAAGTATACCCAACACAGGAGAACTATTGTTGTGAAAGTGCTGTACAGTCGATTACAAATTTAGATTGCAGAGAGTTTGTTCTGAGCGCTAAAGGCACTCAAGATAGAGCACATTTTGCTTTATTCTAACATTTGGGACCACTTTGTAGGGTAATCGTGCAAGAGCTACTCTAACTCTTTCTTTCAGGGTTCGATTGTTTCGCTCAGCTGTAGGCTCGTGGTCTCCAGCTGCAGTCGGGTCAATAGTAACACCCATATCATCTAGCATATCATCCGTCAGAGGGATGAATGCCCGATCACACTTGATCGTCTTGACATGAAAGCCTGCCTTATTGTAGCGGCGGAATATCTTATCCAATGCTTCAAATACAGGGTCAGTCTTGAGGCTCTGCATGGGAATACATGAGCGATAACGCACAGTGGTATCAATGCAGGTGAGAAACTTAGCATTCTTGATCTCCATGTGATCAATACAGACGGTAATAGATCGATTATGTTGATACAGTTCCTCTGGTGGACTGAAGAAGTTGTCGTACGTCTTCTTTGGAGTTGGTCTTGTTGACTTGCCTTTCAATGTAGATACGTCAGGTCCAAAGATTGCTTCGGCATGGTTGATCGCTTCTTCAGTGATAGGACAGTTCTTGGTGAGACGAGATCGGATCGCATACTTCAGACTTTTGGTGTTTGGAGCATTGAGTATGTGCACCGCACTTCTCGCTTCCACCACAGCCTTGACTTGTCTTGGAGTGAATCCTTCCTTGTTCTTTCGAACCGTTGCCATCTTTGAAGTCATCCCAAGTCCAGCATATCCATTCTGTTTTGAAGAAAGTTCGAAATGGGGTTGTTCATTTACGCTGCTTAAGTGGCGACGATACATCGCACTTGTCTCTTTGGCACCTGGTTTGACATCCGCTCCAAGTTGCTCCAACACATATACACCCTTACGATTAACAAATCGCATCTGTCTCTCTCCATCGCAATGCACAACAAAGGCATTGTCAAAATCAGTATCCATGGTAATGCGGTATCCCGCAGAAATCATCTCGCGCATAGCAAGTACATTGGCAATTCCGTCTTCATCAAAATAGACTGGAGGCGGAAATCTTCCTAGAAACCCTTCTTCATCAAGAACTCTGCTGCCCACGTTGGTGTGCATATCGAGCTCTTTCTCAGCTTGACGTAGTCCATGCATGAGTCCACCATTACAAATGGTGGTGTTGGTGCAACCACTGTCCATGATGACGTGATCAAGCATACCAAACGGATCTCTTTCGATTCTGCGGCTTTGAATAAACTGCATACCTCGATCTGCTTCAGTAGCAAGATCTGGCAGCAGTCTGTCTGGGCATTTTGGAGACATATGGTCCTCTTTGCCACATACATAACATGCTGCCTTTTTCTTATCGTCCTTCGGTTTACCTTTACCTTTACCTTTATTTGGCTGGTCTTTTCCTTGGTAAAGGTTCACTCCCGGATTCTTGATCACATCCATGTGAATCTTCAACATATCTTGTGCTTTGCTGACCGTCTTTGGATAATAAAATCCACTTCCCTGCAGTAGTTCGTCTGAAGATCCAGCATCAGAGGAGCTGTTCTCGTTCGATCACAGTTGCACAGGAATCTTGTTGCAAGAACGGCTTCAAAGATATCATCCTTGAACTTGTCTTTAGCAGTATCGAATTGGAGACGGCATTGCGTAATGACAGGAAAGAGTACTTTCATGCCAAGAAAAACCACGCGGTTACATGGCGCAAGGAGTTCTTGACTATTCAAGTGAAGCAATCTAAGAAGAAACAATGGACATCGCGCAAGGCTAGAGATCGCTTTTTGAGGTTACGGTGGATGAAGCAACGAGAGGAGGCGAGACGCCGCCGCCGCGCCCAGTCAAAAGGATCCACCGGTGGTTTGCAAGCGATTCAAGTTGAGGAGCAGTTACCTACCGGACAAGTGGACCTTCGAACTCTCACTGACCGGAGACAAGTTGAGCAAGGGTGCATGCAGGAAAATCGCGCACGGTACGACCAGACTCGATCGCCCTATACGACTCCTCCCATGGACGAACCCTTGTATTCAATGTTCACCGGGGCGGATGCAGAGAGGAACTCCCACGCCCTTCTGGAGGGCCGCCTTCCAATGCCGGATGGGATTGATTCTTACACTCAGTCATTCCTGGAACAGTGCCGTTTCCATCAAGGGCACTCTATGATCCCGATGGAAGTGTCGCCGGACGATCATACTTACTTCTGGTCCCGTAATCCAGAGAATAAGGGCTCGGAACCACATGGGCTTCATAACGGGCATTTCAAGGCTGGGATCTATTCTCCTACGGTGGCCCAATGCGACGCTCTCTTCCGCCACATACCCTTGACAACTGGGTTTATCCCTGACAACTGGCGGCATCTGATGAATTTTGCCATTGAAAAGAAGCCAGGAGACTTTCGGCTGACAAAAATGCGCACGATTCAGCTCATGAATTCTGAATCCCAAGCGAACTACAAGAAATCGGGCCGCCTGGCCATGGCCTACGGCGAAGAACATCACCTCTTGGCCGATGGACAGTGCGGGTCTCGAAAGCACCATCAAGCGATCGATCTTGCCCTGTCTAAACGCCTTGTGTGGGACCTGCTGATTCTCCAGCGCCGTTCGCGGGGTGGATTTCAAATGACGCAAAGTCTTGTTTTGATTGGGTCGTCCATTGGGTGGCGGTGATAGCTATGATGCGTCTGGCGATTACTTGGAATGCGTTGCGGATGATGTTTGACACTCTCGCAACGTCCACGCACCGAGTGCGGACGGGCTTTGGTGACTCTGAAGAGAGCTTTCATCCCCCTTCCATGGTACCATTTCAGGGTTGCGGCTTCGGTTAGCTCCGTCATCATCCAGATGATGACCGCGATGGGCTTCGGCTTCGAATGCCTCACCGCAATTGATTCTCAACTGATCACCGCTCAGTGCTTCTGCTTTGTTGACGACACGGATGTGATCGAAGCGGGCAAGTCCGTGGAACAATCTGGCGAGGATATATGCCACTCCGTCCAACACGCGGCTTCCACGTGGGCTGGAGGCAGTAGTGTTACTGGAGGAGCAATTAACCCAGAAAAGTCCTTCTGGTGGTTTATTGACTTTGGGTGGGACTCCAGAGAGGGCAAATGGAGGTTCCGCCGGACGCACCAACTTCTACCGGATCATAAATTACAAATACCTGGACTGACTGGCGAATTGGAAGCCTTACGTTGTCTGGAACACCCGGAAAATGACGAAAATCCGTACCGCGCGGGGTCGACTGTGGGAATTCTGATGTCTTTCAATGGGCGATCCCTGCCTTAAATATATTTCAGTTTTTAAACAATATCATTTTCACAGAACAACTTTATTTTCGATCTTTTCTGATCCTAATTCTGTAAATAACAACGGGTCATTTGATGGTCGCAGGGTCATTAAGAAACTTCGAATTCCAAATCATATCAATAGACGGAATCCTGAAGTTGGGAGTTATAACTCATTGCGAGGGAATCCTTGAGTAAAAACTCACACGTTTGAGTTATAACTCAAACGTGTGAGTTATAACTCAAACGTGTGAGTTTTTACTCAAACTGAACTCTACCCAGCTGACCGTATAGAAAGGTTACGAAAGAAATAGAGAAGAAGAATTCCAGATTCCGGTGGTCATGAATACTTCAAATGACCACCGTAGGAAAGTGAACGTACAAAGTACGAAGCTGGAGGAAAGCCTGCGAAAAGACCCGAATTGGAATGACTTGCAGCTGCATCAAAAAGCACACAAATCAATCCAACTCGGAACTTGAGCAAAACACCTTCAGACTCCAGCAATAGGTAGAAAATTTTTAACTCCCGCCCACCCGACGCAGGATTTATATCTTGCGGAGACTTCAAGTTCGTGGACTCTTCGAGTTGGAACTCTTCGAGTTCTACTCTTGGAGGCCCGAATCTGTGTCTCACCCGGATCGGAACCCGGAAAGCCTGCGTGGGCTAGGACAATATCTAGCCACCAATTATGAAACGAGATGTACGACTCCTAACCTGAACTCTACCCAGCTGACCGTATAGAAAGGTTACGAAAGAAATAGAGAAGAAGAATTCCAGATTCCGGTGGTCATGAATACTTCAAATGACCACCGTAGGAAAGTGAACGTACAAAGTACGAAGCTGGAGGAAAGCCTGCGAAAAGACCCGAATTGGAATGACTTGCAGCTGCATCAAAAAGCACACAAATCAATCCAACTCGGAACTTGAGCAAAACACCTTCAGACTCCAGCAATAGGTAGAAAATTTTTAACTCCCGCCCACCCGACGCAGGATTTATATCTTGCGGAGACTTCAAGTTCGTGGACTCTTCGAGTTGGAACTCTTCGAGTTCTACTCTTGGAGGCCCGAATCTGTGTCTCACCCGGATCGGAACCCGGAAAGCCTGCGTGGGCTAGGACAATATCTAGCCACCAATTATGAAACGAGATGTACGACTCCTAACCGTGTGAGTTATAACTCAAACGTGTGAGTTTTTACTCAAACGTGTGAGTTATAACTCAAACGTGTGAGTTATAACTCAAACGTGTGAGTTATAACTCAAACGTGTGAGTTTTTACTCAAACGTGTGAGTTTTTACTCAAACGTGTGAGATTTTACTCCCTTTCCAAAACCGTTGCTGGAAATTCGAGCTGGCGGACCAACGACTACTTTCACCAAAAGATACAGTCCTGTACTTTTCCAGATCCAAACCCTATAAAAGAACTTGTCACGCAACATCATTGGGACAAAAACGAGTTCTACGGCGAGGCAGGAGGTGAAAGGAGAGAGACTTTCAGCCGCTTCCTCACCGACAAGGTCAGAAGAAAGGGTTTTGGTTGGAAAGAATTCGTTGATTTGCTGGATGAACGGGAAGTTGAGTAACTCACACGTTTGAGTTATAACTCACACGTTTGAGTTATAACTCAGACGTACTCACACGTTTGAGTTATAACTCAACGCCGTGAGTTATAACTCAGGATTCCGTTGTGATCTGAGTTATAACTCAGAAAAAGTCACAATGACCAATCGGTCATCTGTGTCCATAAGTCCCTATTTGATAAATCATCACATAATAATATGTCATTCATAGTTGAAGGGAAATAACATAGATTTTTCGAAGCTAAAAACATAATTTTATATCTCCGGGCACGAGCACGTCAAACTTTGCGATCAGTGTCCCGAAAATACTCGGTCTGAACATTTGCCGGGTGTTCCTGGAGCCGGATGAGGCAGAGAAAACCTTGGGGGTCATGTTGGCCCCATTGGAAGATCAACATGCTCATGTCGCCCACCTCAAGAGTATTGCTAAAAAGTGGGCTGAGCAAGTGCGATTGGGGCATCTACACAAATACGATGTCATTCCCCTTATCAAGACCACAGTGATGAAATCCCTGGAATATCCTATGGTGTTAACTACACTGGATGCTGCGACATGGGTGTCGATCATGAGTCCTGTTCTCCAAGTCTGCCTGCCGAAGGCCGGCATATGCAGGAGCTTCCCTCGCGACATGGTTCTTGCCCCTCTCAAATTCCAGGGTCTGGGCATCCCCCATCCGTTTGGTACTCAGGTGTCTAAACATATTGAGGTCCTGCTCCGCCACTTGTCCCACCGAACAAAAACTGGGGCGTATATGGAGGCTGCGGTTCAAGAACACCAACTTGAGACCGGAACCTCCTTCGGACTCTTCCAGCAGGACTAATAATAATAACTGAGACATTAATCGTTAATATGCTACTCTATGGGCATTCGATTGCCGGTGAAATATTCGGCTGTAAAGGTCAAGTACTGTGAAGCGGTGAGTCAACAACAAGTTTGAACCATG